AAATTTTTAGTATGGGGTGTATCTCAGTCATTTCCTGGTAAAGGCTACATACAAGAAAAATTTGGAGATAGCTGTCTGAAATATCTTTCTTCTGCTTTGGTCCTTCAGAATTTTGAAGGCTTTGTTTCACTGTTTCTGACATCCAGGGCTGGCACTGGAGAGCTGACTGGTAACCCTGTGTCATGGCAAATCCTATAATTGTAGCAGTAAGGAGGCCAAGTCAGAAATATCTAATCAGGCTAGTCTGGGCCTCACAGCCAATTCCAGGCCAGTCTGGGCTCCGGCCAGCCTCTGTCTTTCAAAACAAGCAAGCAAATACACACAAAAAAGGAAGTTGGACTTCGGACTAAGGCAAAGGTGCCTACTGCCAGGCCTGACATCCTGAGTTAGGACCCCAGCAGCCACATCGTGGAGAAGGAGAGAGCGGACTCCTGAAAGTTGTCCTCAGATCTCTCCGTGCTTGCTGTGGCACTGTGCCCATCCATAAGTCAGAAAGTAAATAAATAAACGTAGTTTTACAGAGGACGTACAAGGGATAATCACCACTCCTTCGGGTCTTAATTCCCTTCAGAAATTTGTATGTGGTCTTTCTAATTTCTCTACTCTGCTTTTCCAACTTTAGTATTCCTTTTTCTAGTTAGTGCAGTTTTTTTATTGATTCTTTAGGAATTTCACATCCTGCACCCCAATCGCACTCATTTCCCGGTCCTCCCATGTCTGCCCGCCACCCCGTCACTTCCCTACCAAAAGAAAGGAGAAAGAAGATAATGATTAAGAATCAAAACAAGCCGGGCGATGGTGGCGCACGCCTTTAATCCCAGCACTCGGGAGGCAGAAGCAGACGGATCTCTGTGAGTTCGAGACCAGCCTGGTCTACAAGAGCTAGTTCCAGGACAGGCTCCAAAGCCACAGAGAAACCCTGTCTCGAACTCCCCCTCCCCCCCAAAAAAAAACCCAAAACAAGAATCAAAACAGCCAAACAATCAAAACGCCCACTTTGCTCCCCCATCTCGGCTTCTTTTCTGTCGCATATGTGTTCTTCATGGTGGCTTTGGGAGCTGCGGTCTGTTGTGCAGTATAGCTTTTCGTCCCAACAACCTTACTTGGACATGCCCATTACAATGAGTTTTTGATCCGGTTCAAAGCCTCTGGCTCCGCCACACCCTTGATGCTGGAGCCTCGCAGACACTCCCCTTGGACATCCCGCTGCTGCCACAGTCATGAAGGCCCTGCAGCTATGGTTCCGCAGGGCCCGTCCCTTCACGCACTCCAACAGATCATAGATGGGGTAGTGGTGGTGCCCACGTCGGGGGAGCGTCAGTCAGCAATGGAGCTTCTGGAGTACAGCTTACTGGTTAGCACAGCTGCGCAGAGCGAGGCACCCTGGAGAGGCAAAGCTCCTCCCCCCGCCCCCGTGGGGGCGTGTCTCCGGAACGCCCCTGGCTTTGCCCTGCCTTCTCATCTTGCTGCTATCATATTCCTACTGTTTGATTACTCTGTGAAAGAACCCATTGCATCTAGTATCCTGTGACTGTGTCATGGGAAAGTCCGGCCTCACTGGGCAATTTACTTGCAGGCCATGATGAGGATGCCTTTTATAGAGCTTAGAGAGGCGAGATTTGCTGAGGGTGGAAAATGAGAACAAGGATGTCCCATGCACTCCAGACCCATGAATTCTGCCTGGAGAAACAGGCTGGTGGTCAAGGAAAGCCATCGCGTTCCCGCACAAAAGCTTAGGCCTGCGTTCCTTGGTCATGTTGCTTACAGAATCAATCACAGGTTTACAGTGTGCCCCTCGAGAAAACAAAGTCGTGAAAGGAAATGAAATGATCCTATTGTTTAAGGAAAGAAGGAAATAGATGGCGAGCTGATGACATGTTTCGTGTTTCCGCAGAGCAGAACCAGGACGGGAGTCTGCTACCCTGGAACTGCCAACTCCGCCGGCCAAGTTCAGAGGACCCGGCTGAAGCATACATACTTAGCTTGCTTAAAATTTTGTTAATCACTCATAAAAGCGTCATTGATGTGGGGTGAAGTCGTTATGTGAAAAAATTAATACAAAGGAAAATGTTTAACTAACCGCATGCGTGCTTCTAAGACAAACATGTAATGTGCTCATAATGTGATTTTTTTCCTTGCGTGAAGATTTTAATTTGTTTTTGGAAAATATGTAACTTGTGGTTGTGAGGTGATTTTCTTCTTGTGTAGAGACTTTCGTCCTAGATGGTATGAAAAGGATAACAGAAAAATAAGAAGGCAGAAGAAAAAGAAAAAGAAAGAAGAAGGATGGAGTTTCAGTCCCTCAGACAGGTCTCCTGTGTAAGAGCCCAGTCTCCGGCTCACTATCCCTCCTCCAGTTTCTCTGACCCGCTGGACTCCTGCGGCAGGGAAGATGCAGGGGGTAGGCCAGCTCACAGCCCTGGGCATGGGCCTGGGTGATAACTGATGCTTAGCTCGGGCCTCGGCTGGGGCTCCGCCCTCAGGTGAGGGGCAGGGCTAGAACTCCTGCACAGATGGCATCCGGCCAGCTCTCCCATGCCCCTGCCACTGGGATAAGCTTTCCCGTGCACATGCTCTGCCAGCTCTCCTGTGAGGGTGGGTCACTAGGGCCATCCCTTCCAGGGCCAGTGAGGGGCAGGGCTTGTTCAGCCCCGCCCCCTGACATCAACGTGGCTTTAGGTGGCAGTTCAGATCATGGGCATCCACACGAACTTTGGTGATAACACGGTCCAGGGACATCAACACAGACCCCGGCTTGTAGTAGGGCCAGAGACCCAGACATGGCCCTCGGCAGCAGCACGGGCTCGAACATCACATGGCCTCAGGTGACGGCTCAAACAACGCACGCACGTAAGTCAGCCTGTTCCTCGCCATCGTCTGTCTCCGGTTCTGCCTCTCTCCACAGTACGTGAGCTGTTCCGCTTCTCTTCTCTCCCATTTCTCCACCACATGTTTGCTCAGAAAAGGGGTACCTGGCTGCCCTCGCAATGCAGTGGTCCACCTCTGGCTGCTGTCTTCCTCCTAGTATACTTTTTTTATTTTTAAATTTTATTTTATTTCGTGTGTGTGTGTGTGTGTGTATTCAAATAAATGTTCAAGTACTCATGAAAACCAGAAAACGGTGTCAGCTCCCCAAGAGCTGGACTTACAGGCAGTTTTGAGTCACCCAGTGTGGAGTGCTAGGAACCAAACTCAGGTCTTCTGTACCTGGGAGCCATGTCCGCAACACTTTTACATCTTCTATCAACTTGGTGTATGGAAACTTTTTATATAAATTATCTGTTTTCATGTGAATATGTGTGCTTATGTGACTGCATCTGTACCACGTGTGTGCAGCAGCCAGAGCCGAAGGTGTCAGATCCTTTGTAACTGGAGTTGCAGGCAACTGTGAGGTGCCATGTGGGTGCTGGGGATTGAACCCAGGTTTCCTGCAAGAGCAGCCAGTGTTCTTAACTGCGCAGCCACACCCCTAAGCCCCAGTGTGCTGACATTTCATGATTATGAACCTCAGCTGCCCTTCCTTCCTTCCTTCCTTCCTTCCTTCCTTCCTTCCTTCCTTCCTTCCTTCCTTCCTCCTCTTTCCCCCTTTCTCCCATCCTTCTCCTCTCTCTCTCTCTCTCTCTCTCTCTCTCTCTCTCTCTCTCTCTCTCTCTCTCTCTCTTTCCGTTCTGTTATTTGATGTGGGAGTGTCATATATCAATCTGTTGATTTCATTGGCTGAGCAATAAAGAAACTGCTGGCCCTGATAGGTTAAAAGATAGGTGGGCGGAATAAACAGGATAGGATGCTGGGTGGAAGAGGAAGTGAGGTCAGACTCTGCTCTGCTCCCCGAGAGACCTGACAGCTCTGCTGGAGCAGAGACGCCATGCTCAACTCTCCCAGGATGGACAGAGGCTAGAATCTTCCCGGTAAGCGCACCTTGGGGTGCTTACACACATTATTAGAAATGGGCTAGTCCAGGTGCGAGAATTAGCCTGTAAGGGCTAGAGTTCATGGGCCAAGCAGTTCTTAAATGAATACAGTTTGTGTGTTGTTATTTCGGGCATAAGCTAGCCAAGCGGCCGGGGTGTTGGGGACGCAGCCCCGCCGCTGCTCCTTATTTCAACAGTTATTTGTTGAAACAGTGTTTCTTTGTGTAGCTCTGGCTGTCCTGGAACTTGCTCAGTAGACCAGGCTGACCTCAAACTCACAGAGATTTTCCTGCCTCTGCCTCCTGAGTGCTGGGATTAAAGGTGTGTGCCACCACTGTCTGGCTATTTTTCTTTTTCTTGAACCTCAGATTTTAGTTACTTACCAATTGATTATTATTTATTCGCTGTGCTGGGGATTGAACCCAGAACCCTTGCACGCTGGGCAAGTGTTTTACTGATAAGCCACAACCCTAGATCAACTTTTTTTTTAAAGATTTATTTATTTATTATGTACACAGTGTTCAGCCTCCATGTATGCCTGCAGGCCAGAAGAGGGCACCAGATCTCATTACAGATGGTTGTGAGCCACCATGTGGTTGCTGGGAATTGAACTCAGGACCTCTGGAAGAGCAGGCAGTGCTCTTAACCTCTGAGTCATCTCTCCAGCCCAGATCAACTTTTCTTTTAAGACAGATTCTTTTCTGCCTCAGTCTTCCCACTGCCGGGACTGCAGGCACCAGATATCACAGCAAATTTAACGGCTGTTGTCAGTGTCGGGCTAATAGCCATCCTCAGTCGCTCCTGGTTTCCCCAAGCTGTGAAGCCTGATTCATTTATACATCTCCACAGGCATCTATGGAGGCGTGGGTCAGGAGAAATGGTCCTTTGGCTTCTTTTAGTCACCTGACCTTTTTCCAGTCCAACTTGCACTTCTACCTTTGCAGGCACCCGGTATCTGCAGCTCCAGAACCTTCCTAGAGGTCAGCAGGAGCCAGGCAGGCAGGCTAACTCCTGACTCCGCCCCTTGCTACCACTACCTTCAGTTCATTGGCTTCTTGGCCTCCAGCATTTTACCTGTGGGGCGGTCTGCAGACTTTGCCTGCGTTCTCAGTCTTTGTGTTGTTTTAAATACTGAAGCACCCCAGTGGACTTCGGGTAGGAAACTGGAGGAAGCGTATGTTTCAGTCTCCACGCTTAAGTTGAGGCTCCCAAAACAGGCACTCAAGACCCAAGGGTTTCGAAGCGGCTAAGGTGGAGAAACTGTGGAACTGGCACCTGCCCGTGGCATCCAGGCTGCCCTCGGGGTTTTGTTTCTAGGACACACAAGGTATGTCCACGTCAACCTAAGTCAGCCGTTTTCTACCTGTGGGGTCGTACCCCTTTGTGGGGGTTGAATGACACTTTCATAGGGGTTGCATATCAGATATCCTGCATATCAGATATTTACATTAGCAAAATTACAGTTATGAAGTAGCAATGAAATAATTTTATGGCTGGGGGTCACCACGACATGAGGAACTGTATTAAAGGGTCGCAGCACTAGGAAGGTTGAGAACCAATGCCCTAAGTAACCGTAGGGATTCAGGGAAGGCATCCTTAGAGGAGCCACTTGGCTAGGCTGCTGCAAAGGATCCATTATTAGTTGATTATTAATGGTCTCAGTGTTCTGCTGCCAACTGGCTTGGCTTCCAGCACACATGGCTAAGCTGCTGTGGGGGCTGGTTCGCTGTGAACGGCCAGAGTCAGCTTCCTAAGTCTTCTTGGCAGGTTTCTATATGACTGCGCTGGCTTGGGCACCGGGAAATCCAGGCTGCTTTGACTGGGCGGGTCCAGCTTTATTCCAAATAGTGTCCCAGCATCCTGAACCATTGTACCTGACACTGAGTGAGCTATTCCCTTCTAAGACCCAAGTGACATGCCATTTTCTCTACCAGTCTTCTGCTTCAGCCCATATTCACAGAGTACTTCCTGTGGGACCCAGGGAAGCCTTTTCTACAGGGAATGTGTTCACCTCTTTATCAGACGCTGTCCCATCGGATAGTCTGTTAACACTGCCTTTGCCTTGTCCTGGTGCCTGGTAAGTGCCTGACACCTACTTGGTGGCAGTCGCTGCGAGTCTCCTCTGGTAGAGTCCGTATGTGTTTTCACTAAGGAATGATGATGAATTTCTCATGAGCTTCTCCGTGCTATAGTGTTGAGAGGTATCTCTGGGTCCTTGCTAACAGTGCTCTGCCCTACAAGCCCCCTGCAGGAGCTCTTGGGTAGGAGTGAGCAGAAAGCAGAATAAACAGACACAATTGGGTTGCCCTCCTCTTGAGGGGAGAACAGGGGGCCTGCTCTTCATTCTGGATCTCCGTGAGGGTCCACTTGAGGTGTGTTTGCTTCCCCAATTCTGGTGGGATGGGCCCAGGTTACCTGGCTGTCCTAGCGTTGGTCTTGTGTGTGTGTGTGTGTGTGTGTGTGTGTGTGTGTGTGTGTGGTGAGCAATGCTGGGCTGGAACCTGCGAGCACTCTAGTTCCAGATTCCAACCCTAAGGACGACAATAGCCCTGTGCAGACATCAGCTGAGTGTCTTCATTTTATGGCACTTGGGACTGGAGAATGGGTGGTTCATGTTGTAGGCACTGGGCTCATCTCTAGAGAGCGGTGCCTGCATGCAGGATGCAAGCAGGTTCTTTGTGGATACGCAGAGAGAGGCTGGTTTCATGGGGCTCTTTGGGTTGTTGTTTTTCAGAGGACCTGGATCTGACCTAAAGGAATATCGCTGGTAAAAACAGAGGAAAGATATCCCCCAAAGGAATGTGTCAAGATCCTTTTCTTTGGACAGCTTAGAGACTACAGAACAACTCAGAAGCTCATCAGTTGGTAAGTGGACGTGGTGAGGTATGTCTACATCATGGGTCCCACTTAGCAGATGCCTGTGATAGCGTGTAGAACTCTCAAAACCATTGTGCAGAGGGACAGAGCTGGACAGGACACTACATAGTGTGCGGCTCCATTTTAATGAGCTTTCTGGAAAACAAAGAAATATATGTGGGCATATGAGGTAGGAATTGGACCAGCATTTGTTTGGGGCTGTGTGTAGAGTGGGTAGGGATTATTCCAAGGCACAATGCTGCTCCTCGAGGGATCCAAACTCTAGAGCTGGGTGGCGACAGTTAAATAACCACATAAATTAAAGCCATCAAGCCAGGTTCTTACAATGGGATTTGTACAATATGTAAATTATATGTCAATGAAGCTGCTGAGTGTGTGTGTGGGAAAGGACAGATGAGAAGAAATTACATTTTCCATTCAGTTTAGGGAAATGGGTGAGAAAGAACAGCTGGGGCTGCATAAATCTCAGTGGACCGAAATTTTAGGGTTGCATCAACCTTGAGGTTTTTTTTTTTTCTCCCCTTTTCATTTAAATGTTCTGTCTCCTTGTCCTTGAAGGGGAGGAGACGGCACAGAACCCTCCTTCAGCTAAAAGAGGACGCAGGGAAGCAAGAGGAACACGTTTGGCTGCCCTGAGCTGCCTCCCCCACTCCTAACCTGGCTCACCACCCAGCAGCCTCTTCACAGCCCCTTTTAGCTATGGCTTTAGTCATCTTAGCACAGCACACAAAGACCAGAATTGTCAGTGTGAGCAAGTTCAACCTACGCATTTCAGCTCCAGCCATGCAACAGCTTCTGTGCTTCTGTATGAGACTGTCCAGAAGGGGCTCTGAGAACACAGGGGGAGGCTCCCAGTGAGGACCTGGGGCTGTGAAGCCTAACCATGTAAGGCACATGGTGAGCAAGAAAGGAGTCTCAGAGAATATGCTCACCTACAGGAGATGTCTGTCTGGACTCTTATGTGTTCTGGAACCTTCATCTTCATCCCCACCAAAACCACACCAGAATGCCATTAGTACATTAATCCAAGAGGCTGAGGTAGATCCGTGAGATCAGCCATGAGAGACGAGGGGGCCCAAACTTACAACAATCCTGCTGCCTCACCCTCCCGAGTACTAGGGTTGCAGGTGTGAGCCACTGTGCCTGACTAAAGCCAGTCATTTTCACTTTAACTGATTGTATGAATTTGTGGTGGTTTGTTTGAATGAATTGTCCCTCATAATCTCATAGAAAGTGGCACTATTCAGAGGTGTGGTTTTGTTGGAGTGGGTATGGCCTTGTTGGAGGAAGTGTGTCATTGTGGGGGGTGGGCTTTGAGGTTTCGTAAGCTCAGGATACTGCCCAGTGTCTCAGTTGGCTTCTTGTTGCCCACAAGACACAGCACTCTCAGCTCCAGCACCACATCTGCCTGCATGCTGCCATGCTCCCTGCCATGATGATAATGAACTGAACCTTTGAAGCTAAAAGCCACTATCTCTCAATTAAATATTTTTTTTTGTAAGAGTTGCTGTGGTCAAGGTGTCTCTTCACAGCAACAAAACCCTAAGGACAGTCTTATACAATTGTTCCTTGGTATCCTCAGAGGTTTGTCTCAGGACCCCCAAAGGTACCCAAAGCCACAGACACTCAGGACCTTGTATAAAATGATGTAATGCTTACACAAAGCTCTCTAAAGTCCTCCTGAAGACACACGTTTACTAGTCTAGTCAGAGTCTATCTATGTAGCCCAGACTTGCCTCCAAATTCCTCTAATCCTTCCGAGTCTGAGATTACAGGTGTGTGACACCGTGCCTGTCTCTTCTGAATAGTTTCAGTTGCCTCTGCATTATTCATAATACCTAATGCATTGTACTGTGTAGGGAATAATGACATCTGCACTTGTTTTTGTGTCTGAATATTTTTGATTAATATTGGTTAGCTTCAGGGATGTGAAAACTGCAGACACAGAGGACAGATGCAATGTGTGTGCATGTGTGTGGTATATACGCCTATGTGGTACATACAGTATAAATGCACTATTAAACTATATGTACGTACACAGCTTTATAAGGTGTGAAGACTTGTGGATGTGTGTGTGTGCTCTCATGACTGTGTGCCTGTTGTGCACTAGACCCCATTTTAAGCCCCTTAAATTAGTTTTCACCGAAGCCTAAGCTGACGGGAACTCACTGTGTAGCAAGTTTGTTGAGGATAACCTTGAACTTCTGATCCCCCCTCCCCCGCCCTCCCAAGTGCTGGAATTACAGGCATGTACCACTGTGCCTGGTTCTCCATGTTGGGAATTGAACCCAGGGCTTTGTGTGTGCTAGGAAATCACTCTACCAATGGGGCTACATCTCCAACCAGAAGGAGGTATCTTTGGAAAGATGAAATTGTGATACAGAGGGATAAAAATGAAGAATCTTGAATGAATTAGAAACAAAATTATTTTCCCCGTGCCACAAAATGTCCACCTGGCGGAGCTGGATGGGAGCCCAGTTGTCCCTTGTACTTGACCGCTGCACTTTTGCCTGCCTCTGGACAGTGCCTGCTGGGCTTCGATTTCAGGGTCCAAGCTGCCTCGGGGTCCCAGCTTCCAGGCCTGAGACTGCAGCCCTGTGGGAGCAGCCTGCTAGGACCTCACTCCAGGCACTCCAGGCTTCCTGCCTCTCCTCCTGCCCCCTCCCTCCACACTCCCCTGAGCCTTGGTGCTTCTCACTCCCAGGCAGGGTTTCTGCCTCTGTGGCTGCCAGCCTCCTGCTCCAGCCAAGGAGGAGCTGGGGGAGCAGATGGGCTTCGTGGGTCTCTGGCTGTCTGCAGTGATAGGAGTGTTGATTTACTATCTTCTCCCTGTATTGAAAAATAGTCTTCTAAAAACTTTATGGGCGTATTTCTATGGCCCTCTTCCAACTGCAGAAAGCATTGTGATACGGTGAAAATTTCTGGCCATATTGTTTCATTTCAGAGTGATATTGAATCAGGCCTGAGTAAATATTTATGATTTCTCTCGAAATGTGGCAGACTTATGACATGGTAATTAATTTTACTGTAGGCTGAATTCAATGTCTTTGGTAATATATGGGTAGGTATGTAAAGTGTTTATAGGGCTTTCAAAAGCAAGCCCAGGGCTTACACGAATCCCTAGTCGTCAGACAGCCAAGGAGGGGCAAGATTGCAATTCTAATTTCGCTGATAGAATTTCTGTGGGAAGCCAGGATTCTTTTAAAGATTGATATTCATTGCACAATCACACACATCATATATTTTATGTACTGTTAAAGTATTTGGAAACTTCAAATACACTTACTTTTCAAGAAATGCGTGCTTCAAGCAATGTTAAAAAAGAAAGGCTAAATTTAGAAGATTGGCTTTGGTTTGGGGCAAAAGCTGAGAGGAACAGAATATTTCATAGCTCTGCAAAGGGCCCTTATACAAAGTCTCCATTTGAGGGGTGCTTCGCTCCCCGCCCCCGCATTTAATTATCAGCACGATCTACATTTTCTGCCTTAGAGAATCTATCAGGGATTGTGGCTGTAGCTCAGCTAGAGTGTTTAACCAGCATGCGCGAGGCTTTGAGTTTGATCCCCAGCACAGCATGAAGCCTGGTACCATCTGTGCACCCAGAGCTCAGGTAGAGCCAGAAGAATCAGAAGTTCAAGGTCATCCCTGGACGCCTGGCAGTTTCAAGGCCCTTGTCTCAGACAAAGAGAACAAACATATCCAGCTACTCACGGTGGTTCGCACCTATAACCCCGCTGCTCTGGAGGCCGAGAGGGATGCCTTTAGGTGCAGGAAGCCAGTCTGAGCTACAGAGTGAGTTCCAGAACAGCCAGGGCTACAGAGTGAGGCTTCACCTCAGGCAAACAAGCAAACTAGCTGGTTTACTTCTCACGTGATTGTCCGTGATACTTGTGTTCCGTCCCCAACACCACAGAAAGCAGGCGTGGGCACACCCTTGGGAGGTGGAGGCAGGAAGATCAGAAGTGCAAGGTGGGGCTCAGCCACACAGTGATTTGAAGCCAGGCTTAGGTATATGAGACCCTATCTCAAGAACAATTTTTTAAAATTATAAAGCCAGGAGAAGGGCATCTGCAAGGTGTTTTTGTGTTGCTGTGACCAGAGTAGCTGATGACGGCAGCCTCAGGGGAAGAAGACTCATCGTGGCCCCTTGACTCCTGGCTTGAGAAGATCCAGCCCACAGTGGTGGAGACGGCACCGGGAAGAGCTCCATTCGCGGTCTAGGAAGCAAAGACACGGAATGGCAGAGTCTTGTACTGCAGGAAGGGAGCGGAGGGCGCTGGGTTATTTTCACATGAAGACAGGCTGTGTAGCGGCACTCTCTGAATTCCCAGCGCTTGTGTTGATGATTCTAGAATGGGCTTGGGGAGGGGTAAGAGAAAGAGGAAGAAGAAGGAGCCTGCATCTTGCATCTTACCTGGTAGCATTCATTCTAACTAAAATGGCTCCCAGAGTACAATCAGCACCTGGTCCCATCTCTGTCACACTGCAGACTAGAAAGGGGCCTGTGTGGGCTCAGGGCTATTTCTACGGTTAGCTTCTATACTGTAAACTGGGTAACTCAAAACCGTAAGTTTATGCACTGTTTTTCAGTTTGCCAAGGGGATATTGCACGGTGTAATAAAATTTCTCAGTGAGCAGTTTCATTACTTTATGTAAGAATAATATGTATTTATGAGCAATTACCCTCTGCTGGGCACTTTCCTTCTAGGGCCTCCTTTGAGCTGCACAGGTGATTTTTATTTATGCATTTCACAATATTTATTGAGCACTTACTATTTTCCAGACAGCACGCCAAGCTACACTGGTCTTGCTTCAAGAAGCCTATAATTTCAGGAGGGACCAGACATTCCCCTTGCCCCACTGCTGGGAATTGAACCTGGGACCTGACTCATGCTAGGCCAGCACACTATCCCTGAGCTACCTTCCTAGGTCCAGATAGGTGTTTTATGTGTGGCACTGAGGTTTGAACCCAAGGTCTTACACATGGTGGGTAAGTGCTGCCACTCCTGCCATTCCAGGAGGATTATCTGCCACCGTGTGTGTGCATGTGTGCATGCGCATGTGTGTGTGTGCGTGTGTGTGTGCATGTGTGTATGTGCGTGTATGTGTGTGCATGTGTGCATGTGCATGTATGTGTGTGCATGTGTGTGTGGTGCTGGATTTGAATCCAGGGCATCAGTCATGCTGGGCAAGCTCTCTCATTGAGCTACATCCCCATCCCTAGAGAATCCCCGTCACCATGCGTGTGTGCGTGTGTATGTGTGCGTGTGTGTGTGTGCGTGTGTGTGTGTGTGCATGTGTGTGTGATGCTGGGTTTGAACCCAGGGCATCAGTCATGCTGGGGAAGCTCTCTCATTGAGCTACATCCCCAGCCCTAGAAGATCCCCTGCCACTGTGTGTATGTGTGCGCGCATGTATGCATGTGCATGTGTGTGTGCATGTATGCATGTACATGTGTGTGTGGTGCTGGGTTTGAATCCAAGGCATCAGTCATATTGGGCAAGCTCTCTCACTGAACTACATCCCCAGCCCTAGTGAAGGAGGCAGACAGAAAGCTTTGGTTCTTGGAGCCCAGCCGGTGTACACCGTGGCGCAGAGGTGGTGGATAGGAGGTCCATCAACAGTGCCTAGGGGGAAATGAGCTGAGCCTGCAATTTTTAAAATAATGGCAAAAAGCTTGTTTTTTCCTCAAACGTGTGAGATCTTGTCAGTTTCTTCTATGGTCCGATGGAGGGACTTTTCAGGGACTCATTCAGTTTGCCGCCACAATTCTTGTTTACATTGAACAGGGGTGGGTTTAGAAGCTATTTTTGGGGCGAGTTAGGGAGTGTGATGGAAAGCCCTGAGGATCGCTTTGCCTTCTTCAGTCTTTCCAAAGGAATTTTGCTAACACCCTGGGGGTGGGTGGGTTGAGGTTTCATTGTGGGTAGCCTGAGCCCACAAGCCTACTCCAAGTGCCCTGTGTCTATGAGGTCGGAGCCTCTGCTGTCAGAGTAGGGAGAGGGCAGCCCTGGGATTGTCTAGTGGGGAAATAGGAAGGAAAATCAGGATGTCTGCTCACTCCTGATCTAAAACTAAGACAAAACCAAGCTTTACTTCAATTTAATACACACATTGACTCATGCATGCTTGTTTGGGTCCTATGTCTGTGGACTCGAGTCACACAGAAGTATCCTGAAGAACCCTGGTAGACATGCCAGGTGCTCTCTCTTTACACACACACACACACACACACACACAGAGAGAGAGAGAGAGAGAGAGAGAGAGAGAGAGAGAGAGAGAGAGAGAG